AACTGAACCTAGGTGGATACTTGGGCGTAATTCTAACTGTACCATGGTGCCTTTGTCCAGCCTAAAACTTTGGTCCAGAGGCATGTCTTGACTGTTCAACACGTTCTGCAAATGTTCTATAATGTACTCCCTAGTCAATTCTCTCAGTGGTTTCAGAGGCACTTGATTCTACCTTCTAGGACATCGTCGGACATGTTCTCGATTTTACTGTGAAGGGTTGACAGTTTTGGGTTCTCTGTAGTCTTGTCCATGTTAAACTTCACTTCGTAATGGGTGTCGGCCACTGTGTTCATTAAGGTTCTCTACTTTACTCTTCTCAGCATGTAAGGTAAATTGTCCGTCTCCTCAGCATTATTGGCTCCTTGGGGACCCTCCTCCTGTTTGTTCAGTGTTTTCATGTAGTTCATCAGTCCCTCTTCACAGTCTTCTGGTGAGAAGCTAGTATACACCTCCTTTACAGCATTACGGTGCACTGGAGATGTTTGGTAATTCATTAGTTTCTCTAGAAAGTCATCCAAGACGAAATTCACAGTCGCCGTAGGTTCCTAGTTCATTAGTTCCTCCAGAAAGTCATTCGAGAAAATATCTTCGGGCCGGTGATCATAGGCTTCTCTTGTGTCGTCAGTGTGCTCTCCATTGCAGTGAAAGTGCCCACATAAATGACAAACGTCATCAGCCATTTCTATAATGAAACAGTAAGTCTACTGTATATGAACATAACTTTTCAACTCACCCCTGCTCTCACCCCGAAATGTGATTTCCACGCCAGGTACAACTCCTCCCCCGTTACGTATAATTACCGCAATTTACAACAAACAATAAACAACAAAGCATAACTTTTTTTACCTTTACAGTATCTTATTATTCGTAGTTTTATTCATTAAGTCACGTGAATTCTTCTGAAAGGTTTGTCAATATATCTTCATTTACTCAATAATATCATAGGAACTATTATTATCTTTGAATGACTTGTGGAATAGTTTATTTCGATAGTTATGATACGGCATACTACCCTTCGTAAGTATTACTTTAACTACGTTAATAGAAACGTTATGTTGGCTTGTGTAATTTATTATAAGACCAATTTATCCATTGGAACAATAAAGTTTAGACAGCTTATAAAAGGTTAATGGATCATTTGTGGGAAAGCGGACCAGGGGCCGTATTCATGAAACCTCAAGCATGGGTTTTGTGCTCAAGCCTAATTTCTTGTTCCAGTTATAAATTATTTAAAGATCTAATTTTGACAATATTAAAAGATCTAATTTTGACAATGATTTGGGCATGAGAACGGTTTCATGAATACGGGTCCAGAACCCTGTTCGGGAGTTGTTCTCGCTGTTTGGGACGTTCTAGACAGCATTACCAACGCATGTACGCATCCAAAGAAATTGGCAGGTAATTTATAGAATTTTTTTATGCATAAAAGGTTCACCACATGATACTTTCATGTTTATTCAACTGTATTCGGCTTTATGTTATTGGTTGCTGATTATGGTTACACAGACAGTGTCAGGTAGGAAATTATAGCGAAAGCGTATATTTCTTAATTTAGGTGTCGTGGACCGTATCTATATTTGGAAATCATTTTTTCAGCTTATAGAAGAAATTTTATCAGGATTTCCTTTGAAGCTAAAATATTAATTCTACGTGTAATTTTCTACTTATATTGATAGTGTATCCCCTAATATTTACATCCTGGACGATTCTTTATTGGGGATACATGTATCTTCACCTATTGATAATGGCAAATTTTCAAAGGGTTTTAAAAAGGTGTTCAATTAAAATATTAAGTAAAGTCACAATTAGTTTCAACATCTGTTTACTCAAATTCAATAAAACCTGTATTCTAGAAACATACATAACAAATACATATATATATATACAACACATTCTGCAGGAAAACCCTGCCTGAGATCTATTGCTTTAACTTGCTTTAACAGATAATAATATCAAAAATTTGTATTAGGTTAACCAAAGTAAAACACATTAGATGCGTATTTACCTATCTAATAAATCTCTTATAAATAATAAGACTTATAAAGCTCAATTTTCACAACTTTTTTAAATGACATTTCACATAACGAATATTCACATGTACAAAAAAAAACAACAAGTGTTTAAATACCTTAATTGATCTATTATTTACCTAATAGAAACACCTGGCCTAATTAAATCAATTCTCAACAAATTTAAAGGTGAATATGTCTTAGTTTTAGTTACAAGGGTAAGTTGGTTACTAGTCCAGTATCTTCCCCTCATTACCAGGGTTATAAGTCTCTACTAATCAATACAAGGGTTACCAAGTCTACCAGTCAATGCCAGGGTTATCTGTCATTACCAGGGTTATAAGTCTCTACTTATCAATACCAGGGTTACCAAGTCTACCAGTCAATGCCAGGGTTATCAGTCATTACCAAGTCTACCAGTCAATGCCAGGGTTATCTGTCATTACCAGGGTTATAAGTCTCTACTAATCAATACCAGGGTTACCAAGTCTACCAGTCAATGCCAGGGTTATCAGTCATAACTAAGTCAGGATTATTAGTCAATATCTGTCAAAACTAGGGTTACCAGTCACTACAAATGTTACCCATTAATACCTGGGTTACCAGTCAATATCTGTCAATACCAGTGTTATCAGCACTACAAAGGTTACCTGTCAATATCTATCAATGCTAGGGTTATGAATCATTGACAGGGTAACCTATTAATACCAGGTTTTTCAAGTCAATAACTGTCATGATATAAACAAGGGATAACTGTCAATCTGTCACTGCAAGGGAAAACATGTACAGCACTACTAGGGTTACCGGTCAATACAAAGGTTGCCAGTTAATATCTGTTGATGCCAGGGTAATCAGCACTACCAGGGTTACCCGTCAATTTCAGGGTTGCAAATCAAATTCTGTTATAACCAGGGTTACTGGTCAATATTTGTCAATACTAGGGTAACCAAACAAAATATCTGTTATACAAATGTAACCAGGGTTATCGGTCAATATCTGTCAATGCTAAGGCTTTCTATCACTACCATACTGATAGTTGCGTATCTGATAGATATACCAGGGTTACCAACTCTCTACGAATCAATAACAGGAATTTACCAGTCTTCTCAAAAAGTAGTACAAAATAATTCAGTACAGTACTTGAGACAAAAAGAAACAATATTTCTTATAAGAGTTTAAAGGTGATAATAACACTCCTTGTCTGAGGCAATATATATAGGACTTCTTTGTTAGCAATCATGTGTGCATTTTCATAGCAAATAATGAAATATGTTACACTCAATAGTGTAATTTATTGCTTTTTGTGTGATTCCCTTTCCATCCTTTGCAAGTACACAGTATGTTTCAGGATAATAATTAAGGTGAATATAGTACTCTGTACTGATCTAGTTTGTTTAAGATTTTAAAATCTCACTTTAACTTCAAGTCACTAGAACAAGTATTGAACTTCTGAAGAAAGTCATTTGTCTGAATAGCTAGGAGATATACTAGATATACATCATTACTTGATAGGTGATGATTTCCTGGCCTCTTTCACTTTCAGGAGACAATGTTTAGCTTGTTTCTGGGCAAACTCGTCTTTAGCGTCTCTAGCCAGTTTTAAAGCTGTTGTACATCTAGACTCAGCTATATCCAGTTGAGCAAGTTTAAGGGAGATTGCTCCCAAGTTACTGTAAATAGCATACACAGCGTCACATGACTCTGTTTTCTGACTTATCACTAAAGCCTTTTGTAGTGTCACCTCCGCCTTGGCATAGTTTGCTTGTATTATCTGCGCGGCTGCAATATCATTTAACACTTTCAGCATCTGAGCGGAATTCTCACCCACTGCATGAGTGCATATTTCTTCACAACGACAGAGAACAGTTTCTGCTTTTTCTAGTTCGTCATGGTGGAGGAGAAATCGGCCGTAAGTCTGTAGAGCAATTCCTAACAGACCATATGTATCTATGTCAGAGTCTGGATTAGCTTTAACCTTTTCCTCTTGACAGTCTATAACTGTCGTAAATCCTAGTCTTGCCTCATGGTCCTTCTTCGTCATGGCATAGAGACTGGAGAGTTTTAGAGTGAGCTCCATCATTGCATTGTCTTTCTGTCCACCACCAGTTTCTAGGTAGCCCTTTAGTGTGTCTTTGTATAAAAGCTCTGCTTTATCAAACTGGCCCCGACTGAGGGCCATGTCAGCCATTCCATCAAATATATAAGTCCTCGCTTGTATACTGAACTTTTTTGATATTTTCTCATTGTTGAATTTCTTATTCGCCACCTTCAAAGCTCGGTGATAGTACTTGTCCGCTTCATCAAATTCTTGTTTCAGCTGTGCCATTTTAGCAAGTCTGACATAGTGCTCAATATCCTTCTGGTCATCACCTGAATCTTTATCTTCATCAGTTTCATCAGTTTCGTCAACTTCTTCTTTTTTCATGGTGAAGAAACTCCAAATTCCGACTCCAATATAGCTTCCATGTTTCCAGGAAGGATGAAAACTGGAAATAGAGAATGAAACATATCTTAGAACTGTGGACATTTTTAAGACCTTTTCATTTCCCCTATAATGATAAACAATGCTTAAACCATGGCCAGTATTAATATTCCAGAAAAACTCTTTCAGTCAGTATTTGATATGTCGGTGTATGGACTGGAATTTGGAATATTCACTCTCCGGTGAGTATCATGGACAGTAGGGGTTGTGTAGAGGTCATTATTTTCTGGATTCACCGGTACCGTGCACACCTAGCTTATTGGTGTCAGTATTTGATATGTCGGTGTATGGACTGGAATTGGGAATATACTGGGGGTACATATACTATATATAGTACCATGTAAAACCAAAAACAACATGGCCAACAGGTTTCCTTATGGCTGCATATACAAAATGTATCGATAACTATTTAAGTATTGACATCCATTTTGACGGCAATCCCATATACAGTTGTATGAATGCAGTTGGCAACGAACATATTCTATGGTGCGCATTGAATATATTCAACAGAGATTGTACAATTGTGAAGCATATTGATTATAATAACAGATTTATTACTGTATTTAATCCTACAAAAACAACAGGGCCACAGGACCAACACATAATCTAAGTCTCAAAGTAGAGGGTTGACTTATTATTTAGACAGAAAAATACAACAGCACTGGCATTTCTACTAAACTGTTTTTTTAGTTGGGCTTATTGCGAGACATTGGTTATATCGAGATAAATACGGTATGATTTTGTCTTTTTGTATATACATGTATATGCATGGTAGTACATATAAACGTTTACTTAGCAGGGTTTTTGCCAGATGTCTATATAAGGGTCCGGTACAGGGACCCTTTCCAATTGAAAATTGACCCTGTATTTTCCCAATTTCAGTCATTATTTTTCCAACTGGAATAAAAAGCATGTTTATATAGTCTACAAGTTTCCAGTCGTTATATGTGCAAAATTCAAAGAGTAACCGTCAATGAAGGAGCATTCAAATACGTAAATAACAAAAAAAAACCACTGAACATTTGTGTCTATTTATTGCTTTACATTTTACTGTAAGAAACAGCTAGAGGAAACTTTTTGCTATTCACATTGCAGGTTTTATTTTATTTTCTAAAATCTTAAATTTTCTGTAATAAACAAAAACCGTAGTCTTTCCTTTTATTGAGAATTGATTATGTTAGTCTGTTCAGGCGGTAAAGTAAAAGCTAGGTGTGCACGGTACCGGTGAATCCAGAAAATAATGACCTCTACACAACCCCTACTGTACTGTATCCATGATACCGGCGACCCATTCACCGGCGAGGTAATCGCAGAAAAGTCAAAACCTTCATTACCTTTTGCTATAGAACGAATGTTTTCGTGAACTTATCAGTCGTATATATCCTGCTATTGCTCTGGTTCTGTACGTGTAGCCGAATCCGATATTTTTGTAAACTGAGCAAGCCCTGAAGACTCTGAAAACATTTTTCATGGGGGCTGCCATATTGACTAAAGCTGTCCAAATATTTTCGTATTTTCATTAATAATTGCATCATATATTTGAAGTTACGGAAAGAAGAACATGTAAAGTATGGTGGTTTGATTTCGTGTAATATGTGTTAATTGTTTATTTGAAGACCTAAAACACATTACTCTGATAAATCATTTTTGCCTAGGTGACGCTTTCTGTTTCCGGTGTCAAAGCGAGGCCAGCCCATGCGCTCTCTTTTCCGAAATCGCCATCATGGGATTCGCAAACATTTGGAATGCGCATCCAAGAAAATTCGGGCCTGGCTCCCGTTACTGGTATTTAATTTATTCCATCGTAGTGTTAAGCAGATAATAAATGCCTTGTTCACCAATATATGCAACAACAATAGTTTTCATATCGCTTAATTGAATAGAATTGCGAATATATAACTGGGCAATCTTGTAAGAAATGGAATCAATTTTGCACGTGGAAAGATGAGTGCGATGACCAACAGAGGTGCTGCAATGTGTGTAATCACTACTAATGGATACGAAAAATGACCCCCATCCTTTTTCAGTGGATCTGGTGATATTTATTGAAATCGAACCATTTTATGAGACTGGTTNGGGGGGATTTATAACGAGACCCTGTAGTAGGAACAGCCATTATCGTTGTAAAACTCTGATCAAGGCCGCTTGAACCTTGGATTAGTAGCTGAAAATGTTGCATTTTAAAACCGACTAACTGGTTGCATAAACGTCAATAAACGAACAGGCATGTAGATATAAGTACCACTGATATACCATCGCGCATGGAGTGAGAAATGAATTTTGTTAAAACGAGTATTAACATTTTTCTGAAGTGTATGTAACTGTCCTGTAACTGTTGTCTGATTTGTGCCACAGTCCCAATGTTTTAAAAGAAAATGGATAACTGACCAATGTGCAGGAGACAAATTAGAATTATTTAGCGGGCCCCTATTATTGTATTTATTAAAGACTCTTAAGTTACTCGGCACATTTATTGTGTCCCTATTATTTGCAGCAGTGTTGCGGATAAGTATTTATGGTATTTCATAAAAATTACTCTAAAGTGCTGCAGAGAAGCTCTTTTGGCACCGGCATCTGCCTAGGTTTGAAGTGGGTAAACTAAACACATTTATATCTGTCTGCCATCGATTAACGTCAGAACTCCGGGTCTCTATAATATGCGGGAAATAAAAAGTGACAATTTGTTTTTTAAAATATCAGTTTGAAGAGTGACCCTGGCGCATGTCGCTTATTTCCAGCATATTATAGACAGCCGGAGTTCTGACGATAATCAATGCCAGATCGATATAAAAAAAAGTTGATAAAACGTCAGAATATTTCTGACTAAGTGGGGGTACCTGATTTCGTACACTTTTGACACAAATGAACTTTTTCTTTTCTTTCGAATTCGTCTTTAAGAAGATCGGTTCTACTTTGACCTAAAAGATGTTTGCAATCTTCACTATTTCTGTTAATGTGACGTCGTATGTGCAGGGGATCTTTCTTTTACCATCATTTACTTCCACGTTTTGCGATAGTTTGGGGACATGATTTCGTACACTCTACAAATGTGCTATTCTTAGTAGATATGGCGATTATATAAATATCTGTTGTATTAATTCAAGATATTGTATTCAGTTTTTCAAAGACCAGAAAGGTTTTTTGAACGAATTGTGAGGTTTTTTTAAATGTGTTTCTTTGTTGGTGGTGAATCAACCGGATTTATGGAAAAAAATATCAACGATACATTTTCTAGTAGCAATTATTTCATTAAATGCTTCATAAAACAATAATGTATGCTCCAGAAGGGTTTTAAGGCAAAAAACAAACTTTTTTTTTCAATTTCCAAATAATGACTGTTCCCTATACGATAGCTGCCCTGTCATTGAGTGGGCGCGTATGTTAAAAACCGCTGTTATTCATTATAGCTTCTTTTTGATATATTCGTAATTTGAAAACAAGGCTATTTGGAAATTCTATATTTAGCATCACCAAAGAAGGACTATGGCGGTGGTTTGCTGTGGGAACAATTTTATGCCTCCATCATAAGCGACTGATTACAAAATAAGAACAATCTATTTAGTGTACAAAATCACGTACCCTTACTCTAAAACATTGAAACCTACAGAACGCCCTAAAATTATATATCTGGGTTAAGTTGGTTTCAAGCATCATAATTTCAAAAATATTTCAACAAATGCATATACAATACATACACCATCATGATGAAAAATATTGATTATTAAAATGTATTGTTTTTGTGACTGAGAAAAACATTGATTTTGAGGTGTTAAATCAAGTGTGAACAAATGTCATTTCAATTAAATCTCAATAGTACAGAGTAGTGAGTACCTGTTGACAAGAGGAACTGATGTGAAAAACGATTTTGTAAAAGTTTATGCCCATCTCTGTTTAAAACCTTACTTGCCGTCTCCGTGAGACACCATACGAACCCCAGATAATCAGTGCAGTGAAAGTGTTTTCACATTTCAAGACCCCTGATCTCTTTTGAAAATATGTATGTATATGTCACATCAACAGACTGTATAAAAGCTTTTTGAATTTGAATGCACAAGCTATGAGCGTTAATGCATGTACAGATCTCTGTTTTAACTACAGAAGAGGGGTCTAGCTCAATTTGTCCCCGTACTATCAACTTGCGAGGGCAGATGTACAGATCATCTGATGTTGATTGCATTTGTCATAAAAAAAAATCTTGTCAACATCTCCAAATATTTTGGTTACTTTAAGTATGGATTGGCTAACAAAATATGAAGTTTTAGATTTTTGTTGAACAATATTTTATACCTGTTAAATAATGTACCTTTGCTCTTCATAAATTGATGCAATAGTTACAGAACAGTGAATCTCTGTTGCTCTGAAATTCCAAATTTTCAAGGTACATCGTCTATGGCCTGCTGTTAGACGAAGTTGATTGTTTGTTGGAAACATTTTTCTCCTCTGGTTTATCTTGAAACAATGTGTTGTATAACAATTTTTCTCTATTTTCAGCCGTGTTTGCAAGAACACTCACGGAATCATCCGTAAATATGGCCTGAACATGTGCAGAAGATGCTTCAGAGAATATTCCGATGATATCGGTTTCAAGAAGGTACAGCCTATTTTTAAAGAATTTAACAATTTTTATATTGGAAAGGGTATACATTTTATAAGAGGTATCATAATTATTTTGGAAATGATAACAGGATTTTAAAAATGGTCAAGCAGTAGCAGGGGTTAAACACATCTAATACTTCACTTTTATTTATTATTGGGATTAGAAACAGAACTTCGTAGGTATAATTACAATTTAATAACCATGTCAGGTAATTGAAAGACATTTTAATGATCCACTTCATATATACAGCACAATTTTTTCCAACAAGTTGAATACATCAATGTTTGTCATGACATTTGTGATGACAAATAGTCATTTGTGCATTGCCTACCAAACCTTCAAGATGGCCAATTGACCGAACAAGCCCCTAAACCATTTTATTTGGACCAAGTGTGCTTACGCCTTTGTGCTGTGTCCTATCAATTATTAAGATTTCTTTTCAAATGCAAGTATACCAGAACAGCTAATAGGATTTTGAATTAAAAAAAATCTGCAGGGTTTGATCGGCCATGGAATTCAAAATGACAAAACGGAGAAAGTGCCCGTCCTTGCGGGCAGAGGGGCAGTCCCAATAGGGGAAATAACTATAAATATTCCAAGTTGTACTCTATGAATATGGCTACAGTAATTTTAGAATAATTTGGTCTGGAGTATCCTTAAGCCAAGGAGACTGTTCAATGGATATGGCAGAAGGGCAGAGCTAAATGGGCTAAAAATCAACAAAACTCTTCTTCAGTACAGATTTAGAAATTTTCACAAAATTGTATTCCTCAGGCTTATGGGACTCGTTGTAAATGGAGGGTGTGTTTGAGTTTGAGATGTCATCTGTTTAAAAAAAAAATCCTGACCTTTCCTAAAAAGCAGGAATAGTTATTCTTACTTTGCCATAGTAATATTTGCTGACACACAGACTTTGGTTTTATCCTTGCAGTTGGATTAAATGCTGTTCCAATTTTCTAAAGACTTGAGAAGAAAAAAAATGGGAAAAAATCCACAGAGGAATGAATGAAAGAGATGAAACATTGCCTGGAACCAAGAAATGTGTACCAGAGACATTGCTCTTAAAGATCTAATAAATCCTTCTTACCTCTAGACTCTGAAGTGAAATGTTTTTTTTTATGATCTAGGTTCAATGAATATCTAAAACATCATTTCAAGTACAAGATTTTCTCTGCTTAACATGTGTTGAGGGTCTCAATCTCACCTGACACGTCCAGCAACTAACTGTCTATTGACAACTTCTTCAGAATTGAAAGGTTGATTATAAGCACCTGCAATGGGTTGCTATTAAGTTTCCTGAAAGAAATTACTCTGACCTAATTTCAAGTTCATGGAAAATATATTAAAACCCTTCAAACATCGATGGTCTACAGGCATTATGCAAGTTTGCAATTGACTAACATGCATCTTACAGATAACAAAACTGTTCAGTAAACCGGTAGTGTACATGTACACTAAGCCATCATCGGATACCCACGGTTGATTTCGCTTCGGTACTCGCTCATCACATTGAGTACCGAAGCGAAATCAACTGTGGGTATCCAACGATGACACTAAGCTTGTGCATGAGATTGTCCAGATGAGTGGTGCAGGCCCTCTGTCCTAGCCAAGCCTTTTATACTGCATAAGGGATTACAGTGACCTTCCATAGTAATGCCTTGAGAAATGGGGAGGTAAATGTGGCCCCGAAAAAACGTTATAAATGGAAGAAAGATATAGTTAAGGGAGCACTGTAGGAGGTGTACAGTGCACTCGACCATAATTATTTTAGGTCATTGCAACCTTCACCTTGGTGTCCAATAAGTGCAAAATTTTCAACAAAAATCTTTTGTCAAGGCTTTTTAATTTTACTCGATATCTTTATGAAACTTGATAAATATACCTGCATGACCACAATTATGTCACTGTGACCTTCACCTAAGGTCCAAGAAGTGTAATATTTTAGTGTACTGTAGTTAATTCACAGTGACACTTAACTACTACGTTGAAGGTGAATTAAGCATTCTAATACACATTTGGGCCATCGCGAACAGTAAGATAACATTCCAAACGCGAAAGGGCAAGTTTGTAAATGCCTGTACCAACTTGGGTGTCGAAAATAGCAAAAGGCTGTAACTCTGTATAACGTACGGCACAAACCTGATTCATAAGTGTTACAAATTTGATTTATAAATGTGAATAACAAGAAAATAACATTTGTATGTCCAGGACAAACTTTGTTAAAAAAATGAACAAGAACTATGTGCTGAAATACACAGAAAATTCAGAAATGTTAGGAATATTTGTAATACCTGTATAAAATTATTGTCGTCAAAAAATGCCTCAAATGAAAGCAGATAAGTTGAAGCAAGAATATTTGAGATGTTGCAGGGTATTGCCATAACATAATGCGTCACTGATGAGCCTATGTCTAGCGCTAATTTTGTGAAACAAAACGTGTTCCTCTTCGATTTACTAACCAACATGCATAGGTGTTTTTGTCCTATTTAAACAGGAGTTGTCTTGAACATTTGACCAAGAGGTGAAGGTCACAGTGACCTAAATGTAATGTACTGTCCTGCGCACCTTCTGCAGGTGAAATTGTAGATATATTTTGTTTCATCGAGATATGTTTAAGTATTTACACGTTTCTACCGAAATTGTTGAACTAGAGATGAATGTCTGGGGGACTTAAATCTAACGCATTGCACACATGTGGGTGAATTAACAGATACATGTCGGTTTCATCATCTTTAACATTAAAACTTAAAAGATTTGACTCAAATTTTCACACTACATCCACATTTGAACCAGAGGTGAAGGTCACAGTGACCTAAATATGACCCACTCTGCACCTGTGGGTGATGCAATTACATAGTTCATAAAGATATCTTGACCCATTTAAAGTTGACATCGCAGGTGAGTTTTCAAGAGAAAACTTTGCATTTATTTCACCTTAATCTAGGTATTATTTATGGTACATGTAACCTGAACAGTCCTCTGCTCACATTCAAGTTTCATCAAGATATAGTTTATTTACAGCCCAGATAGAATTTTAATACTTAATATTCATATTTGACCTTGACCTTGATGTGAATGTCTCGGGTGACCTAATTTAAACACTTTCTATGGACGGCAAGTTAATAAGTGTATATTCTTTATATGACCTGAGCTCAAAACTATAATGTGTACAAACTTCAACAGTTTAACAAATACACAATCTGTAAATAAAATTTTGCACTTTTTTTACCTTTGACCTGGAGGTGACCTAATTTCAGTGCATTGCATGCTTTATGTTGGTGATGCAGGTATACATCTTTAATCAAGATATTTTAAAAGTTATGGCTCAAACCAGAGGCTATTTAGAATAAAGACCATTATTAATACAATGTCTCCCTTTCATTTAAGATGGTCACAGTGTTTCACTTCCGAGACAAAAAGGATTAACACTTATTCTATCGGTACAGTTTTGTTCATAATACAAATAATTTGAGGTTCTTATAAACTGCTTCATCACAACCTAAGTCATCTCAAAGTGGTTCACAAATTTTTATCCGTGGTTATTGGACCTTTGCAACCAGCCAATATCTTGCTCAACTCCATTGGGAGCATGCATACAGCTGGTGCTGCCATTTAGGCTCTCGCAGCTAGCATTCAACAATTCCAGCACTGTCGAGCCACACACTCATTTACAGCTGAGTAGACTGGAACAAGGTGAGTAAGGTATCTTGTTCAACGATACAACACGGTACCATGATGGGACATGGCCCCGGTGTCCTACCACTAGACTTCCGTGCCTCCTAATATACCTGGTGGTAAATAGTACAGGGTGAATAAGGACACTACATCTGGATCCCATCAACCAAGATGGGTGCGAGGGGTGCAAGAATAATTCAACCAAACATTAATCCTGAGGAGGCACTGGAGTATTAATTAGCTTATTATAACCAAAGCATTAGAACTACAGAGGCACATGTTTAACAAACAGAACACTTGTAGGCACATTAGTCCTATGGAAGAATGAGGGACTAAAGTTAGTCTATTGTTACCAAATATTTGTCATGAAGTGTATTACGATGTAATTAGCCTATATAGAAAATGTACTTTAGTCCTAAGAAATTACACGGGGTATAAGACAAATTCAACTAAGCCTTGGTCCTAAGGAGGCATCGGAGGTGTTTTTTGGCCTATTATGACCAAATAGTTCAAGGAGTCGCAGGGTATAAGACTGCAACTTAGATATAGTTTCAGTTCATTCCAACAGATGAAGGGAAAAGTAGAACAACAAAGTACATTGCATTGAATTGTTTATTATAAATAAAAGTTGGAAGTCCTTTGGATCTTGAACAGTTTGGAATCACAGTATATGAATAAGCAAAATTGTATTGCAACCTTATTTAAAGACTTATTCTCGTAGTTGATGATGGCAAGGAATCAAGTTGACTCTGTTTAATTCAACATCTGCATACATCCAAGTATCCACGACCTTGACAGTTCAAACACAGCTAATATTGCTTTAAATGCTCTGATTTCTAATAGTATTTTAGGTGTTGGAGAGGTGATTCCAAATGTTGGTCGGACTACAGTTTCATACATAACCATTGTGTGATGTTATAATCCAATAATTTGTGTTGAGGTGTAAATTATTTTATAATCCAGTCAGTCATATGTATCTCTGGTACAAATGTTAGTATCTTTGCTCAGTAGCTTCTCCCAAACAGTGTGTAATATTTGGCGTCCTTGCCACAGCAAGGCATGATGCACTTTGTGCCCTTGACCAACTCCTTAGGCTGTTTGAAAGGGATACACAGTCCCTTGGCTCCCATAGCAGGTGCCCCCTCCTCTACCACAGCATCCCTGGGAAAATACAAAACACATCCGTTAATAAATCTATCAACATGTCAAGAATTGTTCAGGTTTTTGTTCATTTACAGATTCAGTCCAAATATTAAATACAATTACCCAAACACACTAAAAACATGTATCTACCAATGGGAAAGGATCATGAACTTTCCCCCATACCCCTCATATTTTTTTTACATATGTATGGTATATTATTGCTCATTTGAAAAGAATATTAAAAGTAAAATAAGATTTATTTAATGCGAGTTATTTGTATATAATATTGATATAGGCCTTGATACTCTTTAACCATGATTAATGCAAAACAAAGCAGTTCAGAGACACATCAAATAATAAACTTCCACAACATTGTTTGGAGCAAGCATACCTGGCGCTGTCCTTCTTGATCTTCTCCTCACACGGAATCTCGCCGCAGAACGGAGCCTGGATGATCTTCTTGTCGTCTAGGCTATTACAGAATTCTTCCCAGTCGTGCGTCACGGACATATGTCTCGAAAGATCCTCGTTGGCTCTGGAGATGTACAAAAAATCACAGTTACTGATGCTGATTATATGCCTAGCCTTACCCCAGTAGCGTGCTATGTTCGTAACCTAAAGGAGCTTCAATGTCAGAGCATCTAGCCTTCTAATTTCACACCCTTTCTCAACCTTAACACAAGTTTCTTAAATGGAAACAATTTTATGCTTTGATAGAAATTAATGATTCAAGAACTATATGCAATAATACCCAAAGGTACACAGCACAGAATGTTGATCTTTCATCAATCGTGCTTAAATTCGAATTTGTCCAAAGCAAACATGCTTCTGAAGCTTTATGGAATGTGTCCACTATGCTCATTGTATGGCCATTGTAAACAGATTTACAAAAAGAGATATACTAGCGTGTATTGGTTGGCCAATCTTACTTGGTAAACAGGTTCTGCTGGATGTTGTTGAGGGTGTCCCTGGTGCTGGTGGCCAGGTTGGCCATGGGAACTGTCGACTTGACCCCGGTGTCTCGCCTCACAAGAACAGCCTGGTTCTGTTTGATGTCCCTAGGGCCCAGCTCCATCCTGATCGGCACTCCCTGTTTAACACAAATGTTGTGATGTAGTAAACATGTCACGTGATGTAGTATACAAGTCACATGATGTATTACACATACATGTATTCCTCAAAACATCACCCTCCCAAAACCACCAAATCTCTTTATAAAGCCAAACATTCTCTCAACTAATGGTGGCACAATAACAATAAACATGTTTTTTTTTCGTACTGTAAAAATATGGTATCATAATGTCTGTATTATATTAAGGTAGGGTAACTAGCATTACAACTACATATTGGCCATATTAAAACAAATAACACAAGTAATCAGTTGACAGTTTGAAGTAAATGCATTCTGATAAATCCATCGTGGTATTGATCAACAGCTATCTACTTGGGAGGCTGATCACTTCACAAAAGTTTCCTTGGAAGGCCAGTCCTCTAAACCACTGGACAAATTGTTGACATTTCATTACCTTAAGTTCCCAGTGGTAGAACTTCCAGCCTGGAGAGTAATTGTCGCGCAGATCACACTTGGCCCTGATCCCAGCGGCCACCAAAGAACCCTGTATCTCCTCACACTTCTTCATGAGGTTCTTCTCGTCTGCTTTAGACAAATTGGCCGTGATACCACATGGTACAATGATCACCTGTAATACACAGAGAGGACAAATTGAACAAACAAAAGTATGTTTTAATATGTAACACGCAAATAAAGTAATATTAATGGTACATAGGTGTGGGGGGGGGGGGGAATAAATGTAAGCCGACGTCTATTAAGATATTGAGTAATGGTTGGTCCTTGTGACAAAGGAAAGTACCATTAGTGTTTTATTAGAGCTGTAATAGGGTCTGCGTGGTCATCCTCATCGATATCGAGGGGTTACGCTCACTTCGCTCTCTGCAACCCTGGAATAATCGAAAGCACATCGCTAGCTTTTTGATTGGTCTTGGATAAAAAGAACCTGACCATTCACTAAGCTGATACATGTCCTTTGAAGATCACAGAGGAGCGACTCCCGACTTTAAAGCCAGTAAGATTTACCGTTTATACCTGACCACAATTTTCACATAACAGGAATTCTCATCATGAGTGTGCAGGTCATAATATTTGTGTGTGTTGTAGGTCTTGGGACCAAAAACCCTGAGAATTTTAGGACCTTGTTGTGCTGTCGTTTCACAGGTAACATAAGTAGCAGGCTTAATCTATCTCATAGATACCGTACATTACAGCTTATGAACTACATATCCCCTCCATCTCAAAAGCTTGCATCTTCCAACCTACCTGTACACTGGCAATCCTAGGTGGGAGGACCAATCCATTGTTGTCACCGTGGACCATACACAGCACACCTATCGTCCTGGTGGTGATACCCCACGAATTCTGAAAAACGTACTGTTTCTCCCTCGTCTCTGGGTCCTCAATCACAATCTCAAACATCTTGGAGAAGTTCTGACCAAGATGATGAGATGTGGCCCCCTACAACCAATCAGGTAAAAACATAGACAATTCATCTCAAAAATATCTGCAATAAATCTCAAGTCCATTTGACTGCAAACAAGATAGATAATTATTTCCCCAATTAACTTGGCATTTTTTTTTACAGCACATTGCAAAAAATCAAAAAGCTGTACACTGATTTTGAGACAAAAAGAGGTGATTCATCAAGTGTCACCAAAACTCAGCCTCTGTAACGTTCTGGGAAGGATCCTGATTGGACCACACTCAATAGTTCTCATCATGTGATGTTTAACTGTGATGCTATCAGTAACTGACCTGTATGGCACGCCCACTAGCACTGATATATGCCTCTACTGTTGTTGTAAAATCTCCTCCAGCAAATTTCTCCTTCTCTGTTTTCCTGCCCCGTACCACTGGGATGGCCAGTAGTTCCTCGTACACTCGGGCGTACAGTTCCAGTATCGTAAACACCTGCAATGTTCAACAGAATTCATATTCTTAAAATACATAAATCAACTTTGTCAGGTTATTATCTGACCTTAGGGTTTGTGACGGTAAAAAACCAACCCAATCTTTGATAAGATGTGATTATATTGACCACCTAAATGATACAAGATTCTAGCGGCATTACAAGGGAGCTAACTTCCATGTTTCCTATAATGAACTGTATAAACAAAGTTCAGTAAAAAACATTCATTACTGTGCAGTGTCAAGCATGGTGGTGTCTTTAATTTACAGTACATACTATTTCTATCATTTTTTTTTCACTTTGGCAAAAAAACACTATTTTTTCAGGACTGCACAATCAATTTTGACAAAATGTCACCCAAATGGGCTCATTGTATAAACATGAAAGTTTAATGTGCATTAAATTGTCATTAAAACTTTTCCATTACAAAAATCAATGTATTTTAATTGGCATTAACATTTGCACTGATTTGTATGTTACATTTTGATTTATTAAGTTATTGATGATGTCGGCTATAGATTTCAATAAATTTTAGAAGTATTTAATGATTTGTAGCTTTTGTCATTACTTTTCATTTACAAATTTTAAGGATGTATTTCAATAAGTTAATAGGTTTTTAATGTAAGTTTAATGCATTTTAAGGAAAAAGTAATGCTTCATGCATGCAGTAGTGAGTGTGGCCATCCTTGAGGCGATGGGGTGGGAACACGCAGTAATGTAGTGTAAAGATAATAACTTCAATGTATCATCCCATTGTACCATACTTTTAACTGATTAATTAGATAACCGCTGTAATATGAATGCTTAGAGTAGTTTATGGGAATTTTGAAAAAGTGGAACCTGTTCTTGTCGTCAAAATAAAACCCTCACAAAACACATCCTCTACACGGTGTTATAAAATCTAATTTATAATCAGTATTTCTTATGTACATGCACTTGTCAAAAATCTTAAATCTTATCTTGAAACATGCAGTGGTGTATACCTCCTCTTCTGCGTCCTTGCGATTGGCGTATGCTGTGTGACCTTCCTGCCATAAGAATTCTCTCGTCCTCAGGAAAGGCTGTGGATGTTTAAACTCCCATCTCTGTAAAACAATATTCAGTGCAATCATTTGTCCTCAGCAAATGTTTTCAAAATGATAATTCTGTTGGATTTGAAGAAATATTGATAACAGATGAAAATCTGAAGGCCCAGGGGACTATCCAGGTTTTGAGTTCTTTTTTGTTTAGTATTTGTACAAACTAGCTATAGAAAAGTCATCACTTATCAAAGTGTACCATCTAATCTAGAAATTACTTATTCAATTGCGTTGTTGTCTGATATATGTGCGAAGTAATGAAATGTGTCAACACAAATTACCATTGATGACAATCTCTGATATTTTCTAGTCATTTCTGAGTGAGGAACTCTTCCTAGGGATTAGATACATGTGACAGTAAGGTAGGATACACCCTTAAAATTAATTAATTTAATATAATGAACTTAAATAGAGATGCCTGGAGAGAGAGAGAGTTTTCCTGATGTACTGTGGTCGGTTGGAAAATGTTTGACTGTCGTACTTACCACAACATTACACCATTGGTTTAGTTTGAGAGGAAGGTCTCGATGAGATTGAATCCATTTCGCATAGGACGGGTACATCACTGTCTCACTGGTTGGCCTGATGGCTATTGGCTCAGCTAATTCAGATTTCCCAGACCTGGTTACCCAGGCAACCTACAATCACAAAGCAACAAATCTTTAACTGTAACACTGACTGGCCAGCAAGAATGCTGTAGAGTACAGATTTAGTAAGTAGCAGACAAGTATATATATAGCAGTTATTATTATATCTCAACTTCATATAACAGCTTGTCTGATTGGATGATACTGGTCACATGACGGGCCAATAAACCATCATATTGGCCTCATGCTGCTGACATGCACTCAAGGTTCCCGATCATATTTCTGTTATTCAGAAATGCACAAGAACCACCACAACCTAGTTCCGACAGGCGAAGGCAGACAACAACAATGGAGTGTTAACCTGATCATCTCTACTATTGTGTTATTGTTTTAAGATCTTTTTCTGGCATCATAAAATATTTCTTGCCCTTACTTTGTTTGTTTCCCCTTGATTAATCATGTTTTTTGCCATCGTGAAACAGAATTAACCTCAGAGAAACAAAGAATTGTGTTTCCCTCAAGTAAGGGCAATTAATGTATAATGTACTATCTGAGGAAATCAAAGAGAAATTTGGAAATTAATAGAAAAGAAGCACATCAAGAGGTAAATCTAAGAGTCTCTATCAGCAGTATTTGTTTTATGTATACAATGGTCAATAGTTAGTAGCTCTAACCTCGGGAGCAAAGTCCTCTATATGTGATTTCTCCCGCTCCAGCGCCTGGTTAGAGACAAACATTGGGAAGTATGTGTTCTCCACGCCAAGCTTCTTTATCTCGGCGTCAAAGAAGTCCTTGATGACTTCCCAGATAGAGTAGGACCATGGCCGCAGGATGTAGCATCCACTCACATCGTAGTACTCGATCATCTCCGACTTCGTGATCACCTGACAAACACAAAATACTACCTTTTGTAAAATACGACTTTTTTTAAATTAAGAAAAAAATTGTAAAATCTGGGCTATGCTTCAATATACTTACAAAATATTTTTTTTAGATGTTTTCTATGTATCTATGCTTTTGTAAGTAACATATCAGTTCCTGTAAGAAACACATTCTAAACTTATAGATGCCTTATTACCGATGGAAATATTGTTGTCAAGATTCATTCGACACTTCAGACTTATTACTGAGATAAAAATGTTTTGTTTCAACAGGTCTAAGGGTTCAGACAGGTAAACACGACTTACCTGTTGGTACCATTCGGACAGATTTTCATCTTTTTTTGCCTCCAGACAGAGTCTACAATGGACAGAATCTATGTCACAAATTGTTCTCCCATCAAAACCTAAACTTGTTGGGAAAATCCAATTAACAGGAGATTAGTGTACAATTTATGTCATTATTAAATAAACCTGAAAACCAATTATCACTTGCAGTGGAACCTCATTATATTCTTTAAATGTATACGCTTAAATCATTTTACCTAATTTCAATTGGGTTGGACGCTCAATACGATTTCAATGTATCTTGTGAAAACATACAATTATAAGTTGTGAAGTATACATGTGTTTGACAGTGAACCCCTCTGCCAATCATTTAACACCTGTCCTACCGTGTGATCTTTTTTAAATCTTTGTTAGCCGAGTCATCCTTGCTAGCTGAATCGTCCTTGACCGGTGCTGCCTCCTGTTTCTTTGGTGGTTTGTTTTCCTTGGCCTTTTTGTCCCCTTTCTTACTCTGCCGTCCACCTCCGCCCAACTCCTCTCCCGTCAAGTCCTTGTATTTACCTTTTAGGGACAGCAATGCCTGTACCTCCTTATCAACATCAGCCTGTAAAGGTCAAAATGTAACAATTACTCAATTTTGTCTTATAAAATATAATCATTATGACACCCACTGAATTACATGAGGGGGCTGTGATGGCTAAGTGGTACCACTAGCCCTCCACCAATGGGTCACCGGGTCGAGGCCTACGTGGGGCAGTCGGCGAATGCCAGGTACTGGCTGTAGGTACTTAGGTGGTTTTTCTCAAAGAGCTATGGCTTTCCTCCACCACCAAAACCTGGCACGTCCTTAAATGACCATAGTTGTTAATAGGATGTAAATCACAAACAAACGAAAAGCAAACCGGATTATATGGTAATATACCTTTGATGCCCCTGAAGACTTAAGTGTCCTGACTTTCTCGCCCTGGGCATCAATCTGTGCCTTTAGGCCCTTAGCTTCTGCTGAGTCGGCCATGCCGGAGCTGGGTGTCTGGGCAGCCCTCGGGGTGGCACCTGCTGGCTGGGGCTTCCAGTCCTTGCCTGTGGCAGTCTTGTACTCAGCCTTGAGGGCCAGCAAAGTCTTCACTTCAGGGTCAAGCTTCTCCTGTTATACAGACAGAAATACAAACTGTACTAGGAATATGGTAATTCTAAAATGATTATATTATATAATTAAAATAAGACACTAAATTCGAAAAATTATTTTGATAGAGGGATATTTTATTCGAGAAAATAACAAGCATGACAAATCTACTGATCTTCAATTAAATATCCTTAAATTTCACATTTTTGATCAATTGTTGAAGCGTTAGATTCTGTTCAATTTTATCCGCTATTCCAAATTAAGAGGTTTTTCACATGGTTTCATTATTATTTTACTATTTCTGCCAGAGAAATTGAGCAGGCTCAAGATATCCCAGCCCCTCCTAGGTCCATGGTCCTGTGAAAGACTATTTTCAGTACAGTCATAATGACCTTTTACTGATCATACCCATAATAAAATGTGTCAAGATATGTCAAACGTCAGAAATAAATTGTGACGTTTCATCAAAATCAGTCAAGAAATACAACTATTGGAATGATTACATTGAATGTAACTCTACTTTAAGTGACATCCCTGTAGCAACTGTAACCTTTGTTCTTGTGCCTGAAATAAGAGTTCCATGTAGGATCGAGCTGTAGCCTACTCTAGATCTTGAATTATGTGCTCTTGATCTGTAGTGGACGGACACAGGACGTACAGGAACGAGAATTTCACATTTACACCAGTAAACTGGGGCTTGGCTGACCACATTGAAAGTCAGCATGTTAAATATCAGATCTACCAAAACATTGCTGTAGATTTTTGTTTACCTATCTAATATTTAATTAAATAACTTTTATTTACATGTGTATTCATATTTCCTGAAATTTTTATTATTAAAATTCCATTTTTAGCTCACCGGGGGCCCGAAGGGCCAAGTGAGCTTATTTATGCTGTACTGCAGCATCCGTTCGACAACTTTTTCTTTTGAACGACTTCTTCTGAAGAACTGTAGGACCTAGGGTCATGATATTTGGCCAGTAGGTACCTGGGATGGAGTGCTATAAACTTACCTCATTAAAACAACCTTGACCTGATTTCAAGGTCACAGCGGTCAAATATGTTAAAAAAATCAAACAACAATATCCTCAGAACCATTTGAACTAGAGTCGTGATACTTGGGTATGTTATGAAGACCAGCAGTGTGAATATTTTTTTTAATTACAGTAATGAGGTCAAAGGTCAACTTTAAATGCTAGTCGGGGGTCAAATGTCAACTTTGGTTAAAAGCTTTAACAATCTTCTTCTCAAGTTCGATAAGGCCCAGGGTCATGATATTTGGCCAGTAGGTGTACCTGGGATGGTGTTGCTACAGAGTTTCCTCATTAAAATTACCTTGACCTACTTTCAAGGTCACGGGTCAAATATGTTCAAAAATTCAAACAACAATATCCTCAGAACCATTTGAACTAGAGTCATGATACTTGGGTATGTTATGTAGACGAGCAGTATGAATACTTTTTTCAATTACAGTAATGAGGTAAAAGGTCAACTTTAAATGCTAGTCAGGGGTCAAATATCAACTTTGGTTAAAAGCTTTAACAATCTTCTTCTCAAGTTCCATAAGGCCCAGGGTCATGATATTTGGCCAGTAGGTACCAGGGATAGATTGCTATAAAAGTTTCTCTTTAAAATGACCTTGACCAACTTTCAAGGTCACAGGAGTCAAAAATGTAACAAGAGGCCCAATGGGCCTGAATCGCTCACCTTGTATTAATCTCACAAATTATCTTAAAAGCGGACTAAAATACAGCTACAGGCAGAATATCAGTGTTTGACTCATAAGAACCTATTCAAAGATTTAAACATATGACGCCTGTGACCTTGAATGTCGAACAAGGACATAAGGTTGAACAGCGTTTATAGGCGTCCAACCAAGCATGCTTCTGGCAAAATATCACTACCCTGGACCTTTTGATTATACAGAACAAGGCATTTAAAGATTTAAATATATATTGACCACTGTGACCTTGAATATGGGCTAAGGTCATTCATTTGAAACAAGAGGCCCAAGAGGGCCTGTATCGCTCACCTGAATATTTAAGCAGTCATAGCAAAATATTCTCATTAAATATTATATTGCACTAAAAATATTTCCCTCACAAACTTTGTTGGCTCCATCTGTTGAAACTACCAGCAAAATATTATTACAAGATTCTTTGCTTTTTGATTCTTCAGAAGTTGCTTGACATATTTTCCTGTGACCTTGTAAGTAGGTCAATGTCATTTTCCTCCTCAAATTGGTAAGCTCTATTCCAAAAGCTACCAGCCAAATCTTATGAATCCATTCCTTTTAGTTCTGAAGAACAAACCATCAAAATGGTCGGGCTCTATCCCAGGAAGCCATCAATCAAATATAAAGATTCTATACCTCTCAGTTCTTCAGAAGAAGTCGTTTGAAGTTTTTGACATATTTGATCCCTGTGACCTTTAAAGTCGATCAAGGTCATTTTTCGTTCTCAAACTTTGTAGGGCTCCTACCAACAAAGCTTTCAGCCAAATATCATGACTCTAGGCCTGTCCGTTCTTCAGAAGAAGTTGTTTAAAGGTTTTAAACATATTTGACCTCTGTGACCTTGAAAGTAGGTAAAACTAATTTTCATTCTCAAACTTTGTTGGGCTCTATGCCAAGAAGCCACCAGCCAAATATGAAGATTCTATACCTTTTAGTTCTTCAGCAGAAGTCGTTTGAAGTTTTTGACATATTTGATCCCTGTGACCTTTAAAGTCGATCAAGGTCATTTTCGTTCTCAAACTTTGTAGGGCTCCTACCAACAAAGCTTTCAGCCAAATATCATGACTCTAGGCCTGTCGGTTCTTCAGAAGAAGTTGTTTAAAGGAAAAGTTGACGGACGAGGACGGACGGACTGACGGACGCCGGACGCCGCAGAACGACATTAGCTCACTTGCTCTTCGGGCAGGTGAGCTAAAAAAAACCTGGTAGTCCTTAATCCCAGCATGTTAATGGCCAAATATCATCACCCTTAGCCTTATGCTTATTGAGATGAAGTCGTTTAAAGGTTTTAAACATATTTGACCCCTGTGACCTTTACTATATGTCAAGGTTATTTGTTTAAACAAACTTATGGTAGTCCTTCATCCTAGCATGCTACTGGCTAAATATCATCATACTAAGCCTTTTGGTTATTGAGAAAAAATTGTTTATTCTTGGGTATTCAGAAGAAGTTGTTTAAAGGTTTTAAACATATTTGACCTCTGTGACCTTGAAAATAGATCAAAGTCATTCGTTTGAACAAACTTGGTAGCCCTTCATCCCCGCATGTTACTGGCCAACTATCATTATCTTTTCCCTCTTGGGTATTCTGAAGAAGTTGTTTAAAGGGTTTAAACATATTTGACCCCAGTGACCGTGAATATGATTCAAAGTCATTTATTTGAACAAACTTGGTAGCACTTCATCCCAGCATGGTACTGGCCAAATATCATGACCCTCACATTTGTAAAATAGAAGGAAGATTTTTTTGGTTCAAGAATAAATAACCAAAATGCCCAGGGTGATGATATTTGGTCATTAAGATGCTTGGATGAAGGGCTACCAAGTTTCGTCAAATAAATGACCTTGACTAAATTTCCATCTCACAGGGGGTCAAATATGTCAAAAACTTCAAACGACTTCTTCTGAAGAACGGACAGGCCTAGAGGCATGATATTTGGCTGAAAGCTTTGTTGGTAGGAGCCCTACAAAGTTTGAGAACGAAAAATGACCTTGTAATATGTCTTTAAACATGAGCATGTTTAAAGACATATTTCAAGGTCATTTTTCGTTCTCAAACTTTGTAGGGCTCCTACCAACAAAGCTTTCAGCCAAATATCATGCCTCTAGGCCTGTCCGTTCTTCAGAAGAAGTCGTTTGAAGTTTTTGACATATTTGACCCCCTGTGACATTGAAAATGACTCAAAATCATTTGGGTAGCCCTTCATCCAAGCATCTTAATGACCAAATATCATCACCCTATGCCTCTTGGTTATTCAGAAGTTGTTTAAAGGGTTTAAACATATTTGACCCCAGTGACCGTGAATATGATTCAAAGTCATTTATTTGAACAAATTTGGTAGCCCTTCATCTCAGCATGCTACTTGCAAAATACCATCACCCTGGGCATTTTGGTTATTTATTCTTGAACCAAAAAAATCTTCTTTCTATTTTACAAATGTGAAACTCACAGAGCCCACTTCATCATGCTTATACCAATTTTAGTACAGTTTTATTTTTATATTTTTTTTACATATCATTATACAGGGGTTAGCCATTTAACAAAAATATCACCCATGGCCACAACCCTCTACTGTACACTGCTACCTAAGTCAAGGTAATTTATTTGAACAAATTTGGTAGCCCTTCATCACAGCATGCTAATGGCCAAATATCATCACCCTTAGCCTTATGCTTATTGAGATGAAGTCGTTTAAAGGTTTTAAATATATTTGACCCCTGTGACCTTGAATATAAGTAAAGGTCCTTTATTTGAAGAAACTTGGTAGCCCTTCATCTCAGCATGCTACTTGCCAAATATCATCACCCTTAGCCTTATGCTTATTGAGATCTTCTTCTGAAGAACGGACAGGCCTAGAGGCATGATATTTGGCTGAAAGCTTTGTTGGTAGGAGCCCTACAAAGTTTGAGAACGAAAAATGACCTTGTAATATGTCTTTAAACATGAGCATGTTTAAAGACATATTACAAGGTCATTTTTCGTTCTCAAACTTTGTAGGGCTCCTACCAACAAAGCTTTCAGCCAAATATCATGACTCTAGGCCTGTCCGTTCTTCAGAAGAAGTCGTTTGAAGTTTTTGACATATTTGACCCCCTGTGACATTGAAAATGACTCAAAATCATTTGTTTAAATAAACTTGACAGCCCTTCATCCGAGTATGCTACTGACCAAATATCATCACCCTTAGCCTTATGCTTATTGAGATGAAGTCGTTTAAAGGTTTTAAACATATTTGACCCCAGTGACCTTGAATATGATTCGGCAATTTTGCGTCGTGGGCTGTTG